TAATGAAATCAACTCACTTGGAAGTTTCAATGGCGACCTCAAACTGATCATGCTCAATCTCATTACCAACTTGAAGCTGATTGTCGTTTTTCGATATCTCTGAGTCTGCAAAAAGGTAAAGTCTCACTCTCTGTGGCTAATCAGAGCACTTTTATCACTGACATAAAAGAGAAAAAAGGAAAAAGTACGTATAGATGAAGCCATTATTTCAATTGATCTAACCCTCATTGTCGAATTAGTAGGAGAAAACCCTGTTATACTTGTTCGTCAGATCAAAATATCATTAACAGTTTATGCTTAATAACTGAAGACAAAGTTTGTTCCTAACCTTTTAACTGCAAAGGTTTCATCAAGAAACCAAGAACAGCAAATGGAGCCATTAAAACAGCTTCTCCCCAAAACGCATACCGCCAACTAAAATGTTTTCCAACCTAATAACAACAAGAAGGAATGACAAAGAAGATGGACAATGAATCGACTAAATTTGTGAAATATCAAGGTCCAAACACTAAAATTTTTATGGTATATACTTACGAATCCACCATAGACATAACCCAAAGCAACACCACTTGGTATACACATGTAAAACAGTCCAAGCCAGGCAGCTTTCTGAACAAAAAAAGAGAAGAAATTAATCAGAAATGGTGCATTTGGGTCCATAAGAAGTGCAAACCAAAAAGCCGAAACAAAATAAAGAAACCTGTGTCTGAGGAGCATTATCATCTATAAATGGAGCTGCAAGACTAATGAAAGAAGCTTCACCTACACCAACAAACCTACGAGTAATAATAAAATTCCATTTCGTGATTTTCGAACATGCAGAATCAATCATTTATAAGGTGTAACAAATGACAAAAACAAAACTTACATTCGGCATAAGACGATAAACCAAAAGGCAAAGGAACTACCACAACCAAGAACTGCAATAGTCCAAACAGTTAAACCTACTCCAATAAGTCTAAATGGATCAAAGCTGCACTAAAACAAAACAAAACCATTTCAAATAAGCTTAATTTGTTTTAGACAAAAACAAGAATGAAAGTGTTTATCACCTTTTTGCTAATGAAGCAAAGATTGGTGATGCAACAAGAAGCCCAACCATAAATGAAGATGACAATACACCATCTTCAAAATTACTTAGGTTGAAATGTCCCCTAAAAGAAGCAAAGTTACATCATTACCATAAATTTATTTTAAATATCGAATAGCGATTCTAATTCTACGTTGCATCACAAAAATCTTACTGAATCCCAGTTGTTGGAGTGCATTTGCCCTTATCATTACAACTCTTGTTACTTCCATTCACACCATTGCTCGCTATCGCACCTCGATCCATATAGTTTAACAGATTAATGACGCAGAAGATCACGAGTAACCTAGGAAAGTTTTTGAACAAGATAAAATGATGCAGCAAAATCAGGCTGTCTCAAAGTCCAAACACATAACAGAAACCAAAACAGTATTTGAACACACACAAATCCCAACAAATGTATCCAAAACCATGACACAAGTTTTCAACTTTACATCATTTCTCTTCAGAATCACGGTGAAGTTAGAGCTCAAAATCCGGACTTTCATGGCGAACAGAGAGAAAGAAAAACACAAGCAACGAATATTATACCAAACGGGAGAGAGAAAGGAAGATTCGACGATTTCTAAGCTTCGAACAGTCTCTAACTCCGCAAGAGGAGTGGACGAAGATGGAGAATAACATCTCGACGGCTCTGTTGCAGGAGGAGGAAGACTACAATCTTCTTCTTTGGTCACCATTTGATATATCAACAAAGATCTTTGAGAGAGAAAATCACTAAATTGATATAAATGGACTTATAAAAGGTGAAAAGTTGATCAGCTAAAGCAAAAACACCCACGTCAATAAAGAACAATAT